TTTGAGACCAGCCTGGGCAACATAGTGAGAATTCGTCTCTATTAAAAAATTAAATAAATAAATAATAAATAACAAAGTTGGTATGAGCTGGCTCTAGCATATCACTGGAAGAGACGCAAACATGGGTGCAATGAGTGCCCAGGAAAAGGGCCCTAGTTTATCTTGGCAGGGGTGGGGGGCAGAGTTCAGCAAAGGCTTCCTGGAGGAGACGATACTTGATTTGTGTTTTGAAGGGTGGGTAGGTTGGCTCTGGCCTGATACCTCTAAACTGGATAACACAGTCCTGTTCCCTGTAGGCCACATTTCACTGTTTCTGGGTCCCCTACTCAGCCCACTGCTGTATGCCTGAGGCTTATCATCTGACTCAGCACAATTCTCAGAAAATCCTTTCATGTGGCTGATGTTCTACTGGGTTTGCTCTGAATCCCACAGCAGAGAATTAGACAGCAGTAGAAGTTAGTCAAGTGAGAAGAGGGAGGGTTTTCCAAACAGAGGGATAGCTTATGCAAAGGTTAAAGAGCAAGTGCTACAGCAGTTTGGTAAATCTAAGATGTCTGTGGGAGGGAGTGGAGGAGATTAGCTCCTGACAGGCTTTGTTTGATATGTTAAGGAGCATAAACTCGTTCCCAATATGGGCTGGGACAAGTGGCAGAAAAGGGGAAAGGGACCAGTTATAATACTTTTCCTTCATTACTTTATTACAGCTGGTAACTATGGGTTTTTTGTTGGTTTTGATTTTTGGTATGAACTCATTTGATTAATATCTGTCTCTTCCAGGAGAATGTAAACTCCACAAGGCCAGGTAATATTCTGTTCACTGCTGTTTTCTCAGTACCCAGCACTGGTACACAGCAAGAAACAAAACATATTTTGTTGAATGATTGAATCACCAGGGAAGTTTATTTTATTTTATTTTTAAGACAGGATTGCCCAGGCTGGAAGGCAGTGGCACAATCATGGCTCACCATAACCTTGAATTCTTAGGCTCAAGTGATCCACCTACCTCAGCCTTCCAAGAAGCTAGGACTACAGGCTTGTGCCACCATACCTGGCTAATTAAAAAAAAAATTGTAGAGACGAGTTCTCCTTATGTTGTCTAGGCTGGTCTCGACCTCCTGGGTTCAAGCAATCCTCCCATGTCAGTCTCTCAAATTGCTGGGATTGCAGGCATGAGCCACCACAATGGGTTTTCTGGGTAACTGTCAAAAAATGCCCATGTCCACCTATCCTACAATAACATTTGCTGTAAATCTTCCTTCACCGAACCTCCTAGCCACAATACGGAATTCTAATTGCCTGATGAGTTCTTCCTGCCTTCTACACAAAAAACACCAATTTAATAAGACCATGGCAATGCAGTAAATAATTTAATTGATGACAGAGTTATCACTCAAATCAATCTCTCTGAAGGCTCAGAGGTTAGGGTTTTTTATGGACATTTTGGTAGGCAGGGGGCTAGGGAATGGGTGCTGCTGACTGGCTGGGGATGAAATCATAGGGGTGTGGAAAACAGTCCTCATGCTCTCATTCTACCTCTGTGTGGGGTTACAGGAGCAACTGAGTCATGAGTTAAGAGTCCTGGTGGGGTCAGTCTGAAAGATATCTCAAAATCAATTCAGGTTCTACATTAGTGATGTTATCTATAGGCACAACCGGGATAGTCACAAATCCTGTGACCTCTGGCCACATGACTCCTGAGCAGAAAGGGATTATGGAAACTACACTCATATTTTGGCAGAGGTTAGGCCCCTTCCATAATCCTGCTGTTGTGGTCTTTCATTAGTTTTACAAAGGCAGTTTTTGGTCCCCAAGAAAGGATGCGGTTAGTTTTAGGGAGGGACTATTATTATCCTTGTTTTCAAGTTAAACTATAAACTAAATTCCTCCCAAAGTTAGTTTGGCCTATGCCCAGGAATGACCAAGGGCAGCTTGGAGGTCAGAAGCAAGATGGAGTTTACTGTGGCAGATTTCTTTTACTGTCATAATTTTGCAAAGGTGGTTGCAGGATGAGAGTGAGAGAAGTAGTGAAGCAGGAAAAGGCCAGGAAACAAACCTCTCAAACACTGAACTGGGAAGGAAGGGGTGATTTATTCAGCTGGGAGCAAGGTGGCATAGCTGCCTAACAGCCAAGCCTGTCTAACTAAGGAACTCTCCACCTTTATAAAGGCTTACAACTCCAGATATTACATGTAAAAGGGTCTTGGGTTTACAGCTCTAGAATTTACATGTGAAAGGGTCTTAGGCTTACAACTCTAGAATTTACATGTGAAAGGGTCTTAGGCCACGGATTAGGGTGGGGTACAGTGACTTAGGTGGGGGTTTGATTGTGTTTAAGTAAAAACAATGCCTTCTGGAAAGATTCCTCCATACCATGCCTGTAATCTATAGGAGGGCAATTAAAGGTGGCTCCCAGTCTGCCAGCCTTTACTTCTTCTATTGAAATGCAATGTGGAAGTCAAGGGGGAGGTGGTCTTAGATGCTTAAGGGTGATTAAGGGTCTCCTTCCTCACTAGGGCTGGCATTCACATTTAGTAAAAGCTACCCATCTCTATTCCTCTTCCCAAACTCAATCAAGTAGAGCCTTTGAAGGATTTACCACATTGTGACGTGATTAAACTTGCTGTTTGGGCCAGGCATGTGGCTCATGCCTGTAATCCCAGCACTTTGGGAGGCCAAGGCCAGTTGATCACTGGAGGTCAGGAGTTTGAGACCAGCCTGGCCAACATGGTGCAACCCCATTTCTACTAGAAATATAAAAATTAGCTTGGGGGGGGGGTAGGTGCCTACAGTTCCAGCTACCCAGGAGGCTAAGGCAGGAGAATTGCTGGAACCCAGGAGGTGGAGGTTGCAGTGAGCCAAGATTGTGCCACTGCACTCCAGCCTGGATGACAGGGAGACTCCATTTAAAATTAAAAAAAAAAAGGTGCTGTTTGCATAAATGGGGCTGAGCAAGTAGGGAGGACCCAATAAAGGTACTGAGATCAGTAAGGAAGCCCTTACAGTAATCAACAAAGAAATGATGTGGGTGGGAATTAAATCACTGGCAGTAGGTATGAAGAAGGAACCGATTCAAGAAGTACTTGGGAGATGGAATCCACAAGGTTTGGTGACCATTTGAATACAGAAGGAAGAGGAATTGAGAAAGGAGGAATCAGGAATTGAGAAAGGAGGAATATAGAAGGTATCAGGAATTGAGAAAGGAGTGAATGTCAATGTTAAAATGTGTGCACTGAATGAACAGACCCCTAAACAGGCTTTGTGTGAGCAACATGGCTGTTTATTCACCTGGGTGCAGGTGGGCTGAGGCTGAAAAGTGTGTCAGGGCAGTGGGAGAATTATAGTTTAGGGTGGTTTTTTGCAAGCTGGGAGGGGGTCATAGGGTGTGGAGTTGACCAAGATCAGTTACAAAGTCCAATAGCTTTATTAATTATGGAGGGAATAAGAAACAATAGAGAATGTCTCAAAGTTAAGTCAGGGTTGATTATTTCTTCCTCTTTTCATGGTCTTCCAGTTACTTTAGATTTTCCAGGAGCTCATCCAGAGTGTCCGTGCAGGTCACAGAGGTTAACATGGTGTCCATGGCACTGTCAGTCAGCCTAAAAGACCTTACAATTAATGAGTAGGGAGGTGGAGGAGTAGTTCACTTTTTTGTTTTGTTTTTTTTGAGACAGAGTCTCGCTTTGTTGCCAAGGCTGGAGTGCAATTTTGGCTCACTGCAACCTCCGAATCCTGGGTTCAAGCAGTTCTCATGCCTCAGCCTCCCGAGTAGCTGAGATTACCGGCACCTGCCACCATGCCCAGCTAATTTTTGTATTTTTAATAGAGGTAGGGTTTCACCATGTTGGTCAGGCTGGTCTCCAACTCCTGACTGCAGGTGATCCACCTGCCTTGGCCTCCCAAAGTGTTGGGATTACAGGCTTGAGCCACCATGTTTGGCCCCAGTAGTTCACTTTTTGAGGACATTAGAGATGCCTGTAGGCATGGATGAGGAGAGGTCTAGGAAGTTGGGAATACAAACAGTGAGCTCAGGTGAGAAGGGACTGAAGTGTCCCCTCGCCCACCCCAATCCTAAGAACTCTGGAAAACACTAATATTTAAGAGGTAAGGTAGAAGAAAAGCAATTCTTGAAGGAAATCGAGTAGAATGAATTGAGAGAAGGAAAACCTGGATAATGTCATAGAAAATAAGTGATAATGCCCGATAGCTCAAATGACTAAAGCTTGAGTTAGATAGGTCCAAAATACCTCCAAGGAGTTTGGTAACAAGGACACTGATGACAAGACATTCCATGGGGGCGGAAGCTGCAGTGCAGAGTGAACACAGCTGAGTAAGTAGAGACAGTGAAGATGATCTTTTTCAAGACACTTGGCTGTGAACGGAAGAATTAAGACGGTATGATTGAGTGGGATGTGAGGAGATTTGCGCACTTGTATAGCGTGGAGGAATGAGGGAGGGTTGAAGGGACAGGAGCGCAAACGCCCTTCGGAACTCGCCATTTTGCCAGCTTCTCCCCACGTGACCTGGACGCAGTAGGCGCAGGCCGTTCCTCGCGGAGACTACAACCCCCAGAAGGCCCCGCGGCATTGGGGGGGCGGAGCCGAGTCCTGGCGCGAGCTCCATCGGCGCGAGCGGAAGAGCTAGAGCTTCGCGGAGACGGCGGAAGCGGCGAGCGACTGTACGCGGGTAACAGCTAGTCCCACATTCCCTCCTTCTGTACCCCAAACTAGGACTTGTAATCTCCACTTCTTCCTTCACAGCCCGGGACAAGATTTCCGTTTCTTCGTTTGTTACTGATAGTTTTTTCCTCACCTGACGCGTGGGGCCGCCCCCCGCCTGGGGCGGAGGTTACTGGGAAGCTCACACCTTCCGACCCTTGCGGCCCCGTGGTTGCCGGGGATCATTTGCCCTCAGCGGGGCTCGTGCTCGCTTTAGGTGCTCGTCCCAAATGCTTCCGGCGGAGAGGACTTTTTCTGGGTTTCAACAGGTATTGAGCGGGGTCCCTGGTCACCCCCTCGGGGCTGCGGGGGCGTGGGCCGTAGAGGGTGCCCCCGAGACGATCCCGGGGCTGCTGCCGGTTTCCGGGCTTCGCTTCGAGACTTGCCTGTGAGCCTCTTTCGCTGCCCGGGAGCCTCGGGCTACGGGCTGGGAGTGAGCAATCTATAAAGGAGCATGTACTTCCTCCTCTTTCTTAGAAGGCCTTGGAAAAACCTCAAGTCCGACCTTTAAAGTTTGTCAGTGTAGCCGCCTCTCAGTTGTGTACGAGACGGGACACAGCATTTGCAGTTTGATGTCCTGGGAGAACTCGCAGTCTGCCACTTGGCTGGACCTGTGATCTTTTGTACCGTAGTTTGTTTACTGCAGCCTCGGTTTCCTTTTCTGAAAAGTGGGGATAATGGTCTTTGCCCTGCTGCCTTCCAGGGTTGTTGTGGGCTTCAGCAGAAGTGATATTCGTGCAAAAGCTTTGAACTCTAAAGCGTGTTTCAGGTATAACCTTGTCCTCCAGTCTCCAGTCTGGGTCAGTTGAGTTTTAAAACCACGTTCGTGTCTATACCAAGATCAAATTAGTTAATAAGTAGGGGGAAATGTCTTTGGAAACGAATCTGAACCATACAAATGTTTTTATGCCAGGTTCCTAGTGAAGAGGTGACCTTAGAGCGTTGCCACCTGTGGAGTCGATTTAAAACTTCATCTGGATTTTAAGGCCCACCAGAATTTAGACTCTTCTTCCTCGGCACGCACAACTGTCTACCCCTCTTGCTGTGTTATAACTTTCCTTCAGCATCACGCAGGTACCAGCATCTCAGAAAATAGCAAATGTTACTCAGATATGGTGGTGCTACAACAAATACCTGTCCCCAGCAGGTCTTGTGTCTTGTGTCACAGTTAAAATTTAGACTATAAATAGCCAAATATTCCATTCTGTTTCCTTTTTCGACGTTAAGCTTTGAGACTTTTAAGGAAGTTGCTTATTGTCTTATTTTTCCCCTTGTAGAAAGTGGTAATTCTGCAATCAGTTTTTTTTTGCGGGGGTGGTGGATAGAATCAGGATTTCACTATGTTACCCAGGCTGGTCTAACTCCTGGGCCCAAATGATCCTCCCACCTCGGCCTCCCAAAGTGTTGGTATTACAGGCGTGAGCCACTGGGCCCATTGTTACTCTGCAATTAATTTTTAAAGGGGTATGAAAGTGTAGTAATTTGGTATTTTTAGCCTGTGTTTATTCTGAATTTATTGATTGAAGAATACTTGAAAATGGTTCAAAAACAAGACAGGATGATAGTAAAGTTCATTTGCTCTTTGTATAAATTTAAGCAAATTTGAGTTCTAATCCTGGTTCTGTGGCTTACTACAGGTTGGAGTATCCTTATCTGAAATGCTTGGGACCAGAGTGTTTCAAATTTCAGATTTTGGAATATTTGCATATATATAGTGAGATGTCTTTGGGATGGGTCCCAAATCTAAACATGAAATTTATTCAGGTTTCATATATACCTTATATACTATTATTAATAATTATTAAAAATATACTATTTTTAATAATTTGATAATTTGTGGCCAGGCGAGCTACCTTATGCCTGTAATCCCAGCACTTTGGGAGGCTGAGTCGGGTGCATCTCGAGGTCAGCAGATCAAGACTATCCTGGTCAGCGTGGTGAAACCTTGTCTATACTAAAATACAAAAAGTTAGCCTGGCATGGTGGTGTGCGCGCCTGTAGTCCCACCTACTCAGGAGGCTGAGGCAGGTAATCGCTTGAACCTGGGAGGCAGAGGTTGCAGTGAGGTGAGAAGATCGCGCCAGTGCACTCCAATTTGGAGACAGAGTGGAGTCTCAAAAAAAAAAAAAAGTTTGTGAGCATTTTGGATTTCGGATTTTCACATTAGGGATTCTCAACCTGTAGTTTTTTATTTGGAGTAAATTAGTTGACTTCTCTGAGCCTGTTTACTAATCTGTAAAGTGGAGATAAATAGCATCTGTCACAAAGTGAGTACAAAGAATAAGTGAGATGTGACCATAAATGGCTTGGTAGTGCTGGGTACAAATAAAGCTCTCATTATTTTGTTGCTGTTGTTATTGATGATTATAATAATAGTGATGATGATAATTTTAGGTATTTTCCTGAAATTCCATTTATCTATAAAATGGGTAGTCATCCTTAATTCTAAAACTTTAAGAAGTTCTGTACAGTAAATAGAAGTTCTCAGATTGCAATTTGTTTTTTTAGCAATTACATTTTGTATTGAAATTATATTAGATTTTTTTTACAATTTTAGAGGTTCCTGAAATGCTGTTGTGCAACATTATTGGGCTTTGCTGTGTTTTTGTTTTTCCAGAGATTCTAAATGTGGCTTTGTACCTAGTTTGTTGAAATTGAACTGGTGCTTCATTTATAACCTGTAGTAAGATTGCACTTCTGTACATTGTAGCTTGTGACAGAACAATTATCTATCTTTATGCCTCTGATATTGACTAGGATAGACTTTTATGGAACAGTTTTGTCTTCCTGCCTTATTTTTATTTTTTTTAAGCCAGGCGATTTGACTTTAAAATTTCAGCCTATTGGATAGGGTCTGGGAGACTTGGTGACCTTCATTTTTTCAAGATGGCATTTCTTAGTGACTGATGCTGATGATGGCCTTGGTATGTGTGTATCTGCAGGCAGTGAGAGTTGAGAAAGAGCAAGGAGGAAAGCCTTATAGAGAAAAATGATTTGTTGGTCAAGGCAAAGTCTTGGAGTTTAGAATTGAAATATGTATTTTTTACTTCCTTCAAGTGCCGTATTGACTACCACATATCTGCAAATACCATATATTTTCTAAGCAGATTTAGATGCTTAGAAAATGTTTCCTTTACTCTGTGTTTTTGTTGTGGTATCCCTGGGCTATGTTTTACCAGCTACTTTCTTACCTTTAGTTATAAATCAGCAAGATAACTATTTTTTCACACCAGACTTGTATGCAAAGCTATGACAATAGAAAGTCACTTCCATTAAAATGTACTTTGTGTGCTATAATGTGTTAATTTTTCCTTTATGTTTTAATCTTAAACACTTTGACTGGGTGTGGTAGCTCACTCCTGTAATTCCAGCACTTTGAGATCCTTTTAGGTAGGCTCATTGGAGGCCAGGCGTTCGAGAGCCTGGGCAACAAAGCGAGACCTTGTCTGATTAAAAATAAAAAATCAATTAAACACTTTTGTTCCTTGATTTACTTAAAAGTAATTTTTGGAAGGTATACTAATTCTCAGCTACAGTCTGTGAATATGCATAGTGGATGCTCAGTAATGAGTGTGCCGAATAGTTTTGAATAGGAACATTTTGTTGGTTGTCCCAGGTCACTGAGGTGCAACGCTGGAGAGGCCATATATCATTGTGGCAATAACCTATGCTTTGGAGTCAAGACAGACCAAGATCTGAATCCAGGCTCATTAGATGTAACTTTGGTACATATGATCATTCTGAATTCAGTTTCTCATCATCTGAAAGACAGATTAGACTAATCCTGCATGGTCGAAAAGATGAAAAATTATTTGAATGAGGCACATACTAGCCAGGTTTAGTATACTATTAAAGATCAGGGTGTTATTACTATTTTTAAAGTTTTTTTTTTTTTTTTTTTTTGAAATGGGGTTTCGCTTTTTTTCCCAGGTTGGACTGCAGTGGCGTTATCTTGGCTCACTGCAACCTCCGCTTCCCAGGTTCAAGGGATTCTCCTGCCTCAGCCTCTTGAGTAGCTGGGACTACAGGCACGTGCCACCACGCCCAGCTAATTTTTTGTATTTTTAGTAAACATGGGGTTTCACCGTGTTAGCCAGGATGGTGTTGATCTCCTGACCTCAGGTGATCAGCCCACCTTGGCCACCCAAAGTGCTGGAATTACAGATGTGAGCCAGCGCCAGGCCAGTTTTTAATTTTTATTTTTTTATTTTTCAGAAACATATGGATTTTGTTGATACATCTATATTCATTCCCCTAATGCTTCAATGATCGGTGTGCTTCTTAGCCAAGGTTAAGGTTGTTGACTGTGACCATGGAACCCTGAAACACACAGCAAAGCTAATTGGCCAACATGGAGTTTGAGTCTGTGACCTTGTCCTCATTAGCTCCACAAGCTAACTATTCACAAATATCTCACCAGAATGAATGAAAAGACTGGTATATTTTTTATTTGGCCCTCAGGCAACTCATTAGACATAAGTAAATGAGCTAGTACCAGAAGTAAAAGTATAGATTTTTCATTAGCTTATATAAATAAATAATGATTAGCCCTCACACTTTGTATAAAACCGGCGACCTGTAGGATGATCTTTGACAACCCCACTAACCTAAGCTATAAGTCAGACATTTCTTTTAGTTGTTGAATTACATTTGTTATAGACTTCTCACCTACAGGAGAAGTGAGAAGAAACGGAGCTAGGCTATTCATGTCTTGAAAGAGTACTTTCCTTGTGTTGTGCTACCCACTAGGAAATGTGCTCTTCGCTAGTGCAGAAAACATTTAGAGTTATCCAGTAATGAGGCCAGCAGGATGGATGAAGCTTGGGAAACTCCTAAGAGCTTATTGAATTACAGAGAAATTCCAGTTGTCAAAGCATTAGATAGAAGAAAAGTTACAGGGTGTTACTCAGCAGCAGTAAGCCTGCATTTCGAGAGAATTTTCTCCTCTCTTAATAAAACATGGACCAATTGCTTCGAGTTTGTGGTGTCCATTTTTCACCGTCTCATGCTAGCCTTCTCTATAGTTTTTCATTCTTCAAATTCACCCTTCAGTTTTATTAATATTTGTTGTTCCTCTTGTATCTTTTTTTTTTTTTTTTAATGCCAAATATGGCTGAATTGGGACTAGGGATAAAAACAGAAGCAGAGAAGCACTGTTGGAAAATAGATTCTAGTATCTAGTATTGTGAGGTTTCCAAATAACAGGTCAAACTGAACGTGATAAAACGAATTTTTGGGATAGGCAAATGGCTGACTGTTCATGACTATTTAACCTGTGCAGGTAATATGGGCAAAAGGTGTATAGCACTCCTTAATGTCACATTTGCCTCTTAGAAAAGAATCTGAATGTGTATAGGGTAAATACTGGCTTGCAGTTGTGCTCTTTCAAGTTCTTTGCCATGGAATGCCAGAAGAGTCAAAGAAGGGAAGCACTTGGATTTATATCCTCACTTCTCAAATTTTATGCCAGTAGTCCTGTTTCTGTTTTCTTATCTTTAAAATAGGGTTAATAACCAACTCTGCTTGTTTATAAATATTAAAAGGAAAAGTAAACAAGGATGTCTTGAAAATGAGTTGGATAAGTGTGGGAGAGACCGAAAGGCAGAATCCAAGAGAAGAGCTCAAAGACATCTGCATACATCATCATAGAGACACATGAAATAGGCAGAGAGGGAGGGTCAGTCAGAGACAGAGAAGTAAAAAACACTGAGAGGGATAGTCACCTGGGCAGAGTTAGAAAGCAGGGGAATCAGAGTTGTAGAGAGAAGGGCAGAGTTAGGAATGAGGGACAGACATACAGGGAGGGAGATAGAAAAGAGTGAATGGGGCAGGGCGGGTGGGGGAGGGAACAACTAGGAGGTCATGACCAAGCTGGAGAGCTTATTCAGTTAGTTTTTGCCTGTTATTTGAGAAGGACTGTATATATTTATAGTTAGCTAGGAAAGGGAAAAGAAGCAGATATTAATAGTAAATCAAATAACATATTTATGAAATTTTTATTACACTAACTTTTTTCCTTAAATACTAAATTTATTTTGCATATTCAACATGCAAACATCAAGCCAATTTACTTA